TTTTCATCGATTGCTTACCTTCCAAAGCAGTAACTTTTTGATCAATAGATTTTTCTTGTGATAAATTTTGTTAAACAAAAGGTCATAGAGTTAAATTGCTTGCGGCGAAGAGGAATGAAACAATCAAACAGTGTCGAGACGTGAAGTCGTTGCAGTAGAGTGTTTCGATTTAGTTCGATTGAGTGTACTTCAATCGACACCTCAAGCATCATTCCGATCATACAACAAGCACTTGTGATTTCGTGAGCAATCGTTTTTTCAACCTCAAAAATTTGCTTTATTTTAACTTTTTATGCTGACAAATCATAATAATACCAAAGTTTATTCATTATTCCACAAAAATAATTGTACAAAATAACAATAAATTATAACTTAGTTATTATGCTGTTTAAAATGCAATAAATAATTGCACTGGTAATTAACATCTAATTAAACACTAATAAGTTAAACAGAAACTTGAGTTGATTTACTAACTGCAATGACTGAGTTAAGTATATTATTTCGTCGTAAGCTGCAAAATACACTCCAGCGTCTTTGAATAGATTATTATAGTTACCGAAATGCAGTTAAAATGAATTTACTTCATTCTATAAAGTCATTAAGAATTACAGTAGTTTAATGCAAGACAATAGAATTGGAAGCTGTTAAATATCGCCAACTCCAGATTGAATCCATGAACTGTGTATTGAATCCTATGTCCGATTTTACTCGAACAAAACAATTTACAGTTTCCAACGATGCACAGTATGAATCGGAAGTTCTCTCATAGCGTTTGCTTTCCTGCTGTGTAACACCGAGTGTGAGATTATTTATCATCACGGGTAGTCTGGCGCCCAGATATCCGGTTTCCGCGTGAATTCAGCTTTGATCGTGCAGCACGCATCACAAGGCCCTCGAGTCGGATATCATTTTGTCTAGAAACATTATTTGATTGTCAACTTATTTACACATCTCTCAAATTCCACCTCGTTAATTAACTCAAATAACCGATATATTTCTGAGCTAAAAATTTACACAATTTTCTCTGAAAACAAATTATTGCATACATTGCAAATCCAAGTGCGTTACTCTTGTAGGCACTTTTAACACACTAAGCCTGTTCAATATTAAAATGCGTAAAAAGTATCTGCAAAACATATATAGTTTGTTTATGAATATTTGATATTGAACACACTCTATGGATGTTATTTTAACACGTTTGTAAAATCGTGGATTTTTAGGGTATTTATTGATTTTTCAACGCGTAATTGTATTAGTCATAGTTCTAAGTACACAATCGCTACCGGGAAAAACCACTGTTTGATATGTGGAATTACGAATAACTGATTCGAATGAATAAAAACCCACTTATCTCATCTTATCTTATCATTCAGTTCACTATAGAAATTGAATTTAGATCTATTTATCTGACTATACATTATATAAGTTAATATATTAACTTATATAGATTTATTTATTCAATAGATTGGTTATAGCCTAGGTTTCAATTAAATAATTTAGATAAATAGAACTTTGCCATCAGTTTAAATTAAATCTATGAGATTTAAAGTTATTGTAAATCTTAAAAATAATTTTTCTGAAAGTTGTAAAAATATGATGTATAGAGTATTGAAAAAAGAATTTACAGCATAAAGATAAACTCAGATCATTGACTTCACTTTTTTTAGTTATACTTTGTGTCATGAGCTTAAAAAACTTATCACAAAGTTTTAACGTTGAGCTCAGGATTTTACATGTCTCGATAGTTTACGTTCTTTAACGTAAAAATAGATTAACAATAAGTTTAAAAAATATTTTCAATTTTTTAGTTCATATACGATTATGTGTGATGAAAAAATTGATGCAAAATTTTTTCGAGATTTTATTTTACTAAAACGTAATAATAATAATTATCATACATATATATATATAACGAAATAATTCTAGAAAAAAATTATAACAGAAAAATGAGAAAAAAAAATAAATTTAATAATTAAAAAACGTCAATGCAGGCGTAAAATCACTTTTGAATTTAAGCTTATAATATGATGAATTTAAATTGCGTTAAATTCAAACGCGTCACATACACGAGCCGTCAGTTTATCCAGAAATTGTATAGTATAAAATTGTTCAAATTTCCAACTGTAATGAATCTCATTTTTTTAATCGCTTTAGAACGGTTTATAAACACATTATACTATACTGTTCAATCTCCGGTAATGATGTGGTACAAAAGATTTAATTTAATTAAACTAGTACATTTATTCAATTTCATGTAATGCACTGTAATGTACTCCACATAATGAATATTGACTATATATTTTCATCTCTTCATATGATACAAATGATAAAATAATACGTACACATGAACAGAGTATAATACACTCACATAAATGTCAATATATCAATCCTCACTTCATGTTTCGTACAATGAAAATACCAATATTTAATCACACATGAATACCTTTTTCATGACAAATTATTTTTTACAATCATGATTAAGACATTCTACATATCGAATAAATCGTTCAGAGTTATCTGCTTAAGCGAGAGATATAGCCATAGTACATAATTATACCCATAAAAAACAATTAATCAGATACCGATGTACTAAACTATTAGAATTGCATTATTCTCGTAAGATTCGGTATAGCATCGTTGGTTGTCATTTAACCTCGTCCGTTAAGTATCTGGATATACCTTTGAAACTACGTATATCATTTATACTAGCATTCTCTTCATTTTTTCCTATTCTCAAGGGCTTGATTTAAACTCAATAAATCGGTATAATAATGAATAAAATCATCACGAAACATTAACTCAATATAAACAGATTAAAAAGACGTTCGATCTGGTTTAAATATATTTTTGAAATTAATTTTATCAAACGTCATAGAAAATTTTGATTATAATTATCGATTTGTCATAGAATAAAGGATTGAACTATTTATATGCGCCATGAAGAAATAAAAAATAGGGCAACTTTACTTAATATAAGATCAATATTGAGAGTAAAGATATTTGTCGATGTACAAGCAAGGATTGCATATTCTTGGATTTTAGGAGTACCGGACACTTGAAAAACTACGAGGGTTTCTTCCACGCGAGTGCAAATTCTCGGATGGACTCGTGGAGCATCTCTTTGAGGATCGACTACAAATATGTATGCGACAGTCTAGACATTAACCACTTGGAAAATACATTCATATGAACAACATGATAGCAACTATGGCTGCAAGATCTAAGACTAACTCGAGTGTATCCGTCTTGTGGCTGTGTCAGCGAACTTTCATATTAGATTCTCACTCCCTTAACGGTCATTCTGTGAATTCATGTACTCACCAAAGGATACTAGAATACTGCGCGTGATGGCAGGATTTCGAATTTTCATGTCAGTTGCAAAATCCACTCATGGATATCACGATATAGATGATGATGATCTGCTGACTCGTACATTCAGTCTGAACATGTAAATAATACAAATGATGAAATATAAAAGCCATATTCTGGAATAATCTTGAAAGAATGTAAAGGTAAAATAAATTGATACAGTAGAAAAAGATGTAAGAAATATTGTTTCAGGTAATAACATCATTGCACTCTTGAACTAAGTCGAGCTATCTCTATGGTTTGCAACAGGTGCTAGTACTTATCATCCACCCACAGTGCGAAGAATTCTATTTCTAGATGAAACATTTTTCATTTAGAAAGATAAAAAATAATAACTAAAAGTAAACTCATATCTTAGCAGATATAGTAACTTTTCAGAAAACAATATTGCAATAACAAGAAAAGTTGTCGACTCTCTTGACGATGGCGAAAGCTCGATCTTTTGTTCTCACTCATATCGACATCTCCTTGGGGACAGTTTGAAAATTAAACTTGTTCGAGACAATGCACTTGGTACTCTTGATGTAGTGTACACTCAGACTTAGACAATAAGACAGTAATACTAAAGGCAGAAAGGGAAAGAGAACAATGCTTTGGCAATATTCAGTTAAAAATGATACAGTAAATTGAGACTACCATGTATCTTTTTCCAACGATGTTGTAACATAGCTTTTGATATGGTTTGCATAAAATGCCTTTACTTTTTTCATTTTAGTGTGCTATCGACAGATATAAAATAGGAAGTCCAATTTTATTTCGAATCTATTGTATATTTTCCTTTGTTGAATTATTCATTTCTGAATAAATAATAGTTTCAATACAGCATACAAATCAATTTCTATTGATTAAAATGTAATCATATTATAAAGTTCAATTATGAAAATGGACATAAGCTAATTTCATTAAACAATTGTAACCAGCTTATCAATATCCAATCATGGATCTTTATCATTATTATATTATAATGAAAGAAGTTATAATTAGCTCAGTAATAAATTATTAATTAACATCATATACGAAAAGTTACAGTACTATAATCATCATTTTAAAAATAATTTTACCTTTGAAGCAAAATTTTGATATTATTTCTTAAAATATTAATTGTTATAATTAGGAGAAAAAAAATTAGTCTTTTAGTATTCTTATCTTGAAAATTGGCGACTAAGAATCCGAGAAAAAATTACCTTCAGACAGATAAGAATAAAAGTCAAGTTCAGGAGACGTTTTGATGATTAATAAATAATGCATAGACTGTCGTACCCGTGAGAATTAGAAGACAGTAGAGGATTATAAAGAGAGAAAAAACCTGAGGTTGAATAAAACAAGAGGTGCTTCAAAAGTACACAAAAACTTGCTGAAGACAATAGAACAGACTTCCTGATTTTATTTCCACTTCATTCGTGTTGTAATAAATTTTGCATTAAGTGAACTGTCGTCTTAAATTTTATAGATTTCTCCTTGAGCTTCTGTTGACTTTGTATTTGCGAAAAGAATTTTATCAGCAACTAATCAATAATTTATAATCAAAAGCAAAATTTTATTATTTTTTTTAAAGACAAGTTTGTTGAATCTTGATATTACAATTCTTTATTTAATAAACTATTGAAAGATACATTTTACGTTTTCAATGTCTATGAATTTTGGTTGATATCATTTGTTAAATATCTAGCACCAAGTGGATGAATATAACCAATTTCACTAAGAATACACATAGTTATGAACACAAAATAAATAGAGAAAAGTAAAAACCCATAACTTTTGCGAGCGATGAATCCAGTAATGTTAAGATATATAACAGAAGTTGTCAGGGAACAAAGTAGGAAAGCAATGCATCCTGGAATCATATCGCTGTTGATTATTCGAACCCGATAATCCGAATGTTTTGATGCTGAGTGAGTCCAGCTTAATCCTAGACCCATCAAAGTGTTGAACATAGGTCCACCAAAGCAGGCAGCATAACCCATGCGTGCAAAGCCTCTTCTAGCTATCGCTACGTTGGAGATGAGATCTAAAAGGATGGCGTATCAGTAGGGGCATCGAAGCTTAGCTAATCTAAGGCGAATAGGTTTCAGTATGATCAAAGCAAATTCTAGACTCACGATCATTTCATTTAACTTTACACTTAGTTTATTCATCAGATAAGCTTTTTAAAGCCCCGCGACTCGACCTTATTATTCACTTGAATTATCTTTTCTTATCATCTTGGGCAAAAGCAAAGTAAAAACACTCATTTTATATTATTAATTAATATTTATATTTATGAAATCAGCTAATATGAAGTTTTTTAAATGTCAACACATCAATTAATAGTTTATGATTTCTTTAGGATTTTTCTTCAATCAAACTAAATTATTGTACTGGAAACGATAAAATGTATATTTACCTCCGACACTATTGCCCCAAGCAAGCAACGTTACTCCGAGCATAGCACTGGATATTCCACTTACAATGCCAATACTTCCTAAAACCGCCATCACCTCTCTTGCAACCACCCATACTACCAATGTGGCCCCCAAAAATCCAATAAAAGCATAAATCTATGATCAAAAATAATATATATTAAAATTGATTTATGATAATTTTTAGTTTTCTTCTTACATTATGATATTTTGGAGGATGACTGACAGAAGTTTTCACAAATACATAAATAGCCACAATAGCACAAAATATGATTATTAGCAAACTAACTGGAACAAATCCTATTTTTATGCTGTGAACTAAACAATAATAATTAGTGTGATTATTATTTGTACAAAACTTAATGATTATTTGAAAGTAGTATATAAAAAGCTTACGGTCTATAAGAGTTGTTGCAACAATCGGAATAATACACAATTGTATACAGTTTAGCAACTTAGACCATCCATTCTTTGCAGCAGTTTGATTCACTACAGGAATGATAAACTGAAGAACCAACATTGCTGGAGCTCGGATTATTAAAACGAGTTTTACTAAAATATGAGATGTTTTCCAATCATTGATATCAATTGGATTCATATCATAAAAAAATTCCAAAAAAAGATTCGTAGGACGTGTTAAATCAGGCAGAGGATGACGAGGCTTAATACTTTCTAGCTCTATAATAGCTAGTTTTTTCCTCGTAGAAGCCATCTCAGCAGCAATCGCAAGATCTATTAATAATGTTAAAAATATTATTGAACTTCTTTTATATTTTAGTCATACAGATTGGATAGGTGAATTTTTTACTCAATTACCTAATTTCGTTTTTAAGCTGAATGCTCCGGGCAACAAAGGCTTCAATACTTGTTTTTCAGCAGTTTTTGAAGTTATAAATGACTGCAACATGTCAAAATCATTGATTTGTGGAATTCGTGCTAAAAATATTTCAATTACCATTAATTGTAGATATAATTATTCAGTTGATGAAGAATAATTTTAAATGTAATTTTGGTTTGATTATTGCTATTGAAAATCATTTGCTCTACCTTTCCGATTTGCCTCCCGGTTATCCCAATACTGTGTTGCAATTACAGCAACAATAAAACAGAGATAAATTAAAATCAAACCTACAAACAAAATGCGAACTATTTTTATTGGAAACTGAAAAAAATGTTACAAAAAAGATATGAATTTGAACTCAACTCAAACTTTCCCACATATGAACAACATCATCTCCAGTTATGTAGGCAATCCAACATACAGAGAAAATATAAAAAAAACAATCTCTTGTAAATGTTTTGGCAATAATTCTAAATGGTGATATAGTAGCAATAGCACCAGCTATTATAGCAGTAACGAAGACTCCAGCTCCAACCAATTCTGTAAACATTATTAACTCTTCAACTCCTTCATCAGAAACTAAAGATGTAAATACGTCAGGAGAACCATTTCCAAATGCTAAAATTGTTACACCTGCTATATTTTCTGATAGACGTAAAACTTGAGCTATTACTGCTAATGAAGGACAGAAGCTGCAAAAATTGATCATTTCATCAGATTCATGGTGAAACAATATTTGATTGATTCTTTAATTAATGAATTTTAAAGTTAATTTTATGATTTTGTTCTCACTCATGAATGATTAATTAAAAAATTTTCAATTAATTTTTGCAGTTTTAGCAATGCTTTTTTTACAACACGAACATTAAAAATCTTGGGAGCATAGAACAAAAAATATTAAGTTATTTCAAGTGTCCACGACACTTTGTCAGTTATCACAAGAACTTGAAAGCCTTACGGCTAAAATATATTTTAAACTCTAGTAAGGGAAAGGAGAAAAGACAAAATGCAAAACTTTTCGTACAAGTTGTCTGCTGTCGTTCCCAACACAAGAAACAGATAAAGTAGCCACACAACAAATAAGATAAGACCACAAGCCAACACTGCTGGATGATCTGAGCTAAACCAGCAAAAAAGTAATTTCGTGTATTGAATATAAGCATCTGCTTCACAAGCATGAGTATTTTTTATCCATTGACAACGATCACGAGGGAGATAATTCCAAACATCGGAACATTGTTCCTAAATTAATGACAATCAATGCAAGGTTAATTCACTTAAATTAGGTTATGTAAAAAATTTGGAAAATAACTTACTATTGATTCATTAGTATTTATTTCTTGTTTTAGTACAATCTTCAAATTACCTAATTTCATTCTTCCAAATGCCTTAGTTGGTTATTGAACTCATTATTCAATAGTCACTGGTTGAATCGCATGAAGTAAGCGATAATTGCTCTCTAAACTCTTGTCATTAAATTCTAACTGTAACTAACTAATTAGTACACAAGAAGAGAAAGTTAAAAAACTGTCTAACTGTTGTTTTGTAGAAATTCAGTTAAAATAGAATAAACAACAGAAGCTCTGAGCCAAAGAATAGTTTCATACAACAGACGTATAGCAGAAAGTTGTTGTTTTGGCTATCCTTTACCAGGTTGAGGTGAGATTGAACAGGACACTTGTCCACTTCCGGAAGGCAAACGAGAGGTTCATTAACGTCGAAGAGTCTGGCGCTCATCCATCTCACTGCTTGAGTTGACGAGTTGAAGCAAAAGAAGGCCATTATGCAATGGAAACGAAAGACAAAAAAGAAAGATTGTCAAGTGTACTTAACGAATAGAGGGATAGACACATTGAGGTCATAAAAATTTTTATAGAAGATGGTGTTAAAATTTTCTTAATTTATTTTCAAGTGATAGTGAAATTAATAGAAGATTGATGAAAATATTTTTATTTAAAACCCATAATACTCTTTTATACTTGATAAGATTTTTATTGCCGTCATCTCATTGTTGAGAATTATAGTAACAGTATAATTTTTTTACCTTGACTACCTTGCAGTTAGACTGCACATTTGTAATAGCTACCTTTCAAAGAAATATAAAACAAGAATATGCAAAAGCAGCTTTCCTGTGGTAGACTGCTTCTTGTAATTAATACAAAAGCTACCATAGCATTGTTTCGTGTACCAGGAAGCATTTCTCTACAGAAAATCTCTTTTACTTGAGAAAAATATTGCTGGTTTACATCAGACGTTGTCTTCTTAATTTTATTTTATTGTTGATATTTTTTAAGAACTGTGATTACAATGTTTTGCGATATTTAAATATTTCAAATGAAAATTATTAACAAGATCATGAAATTTTGAGTTTTACTTAATTACAAACAATGAGCTCAATATAACAGTAATAGAAAATATTATTTAGTTTGAATGAATTATCTTCATTCAAAAATAATATATTTTTTGAAGTAAGACGTTCAAAATGGCATAATTAATTTTAAATTTCAATATATTTTTCTAACTTTCTGTAATAACCCAGGAGAGGCAGATGCATTGGATGGCTTTGTATGGTACCATACCGCATGGAATTCCCTTTATTAAAGCCTCAATCGAACATGAAATTCTGTGCTTGGAGGTATAACAATAGAGATATAACAGAGAAGAGAATCATTTTTTCTACAATTTTGTATTTATCATGAACCTTCGTCCAGTAATTTCTAAAATTGGAACAACTTCCGTTGAAATGAAGTTGGATGTGATGTCTATATGAAGCATGGCGTATACATTAACGGAAATGACTGACAGTGAAAGAGATATACACTGAGAATAAACTGTATCCTGTTGATACTTGGACAGAGGTAGAAGAAGGAAACAGATAACAATACAAACCTATTTTATAAATATAATGTACATTTAAAAATATTATTATATCAAGAAACTGCTTAGTGTACTTCAGTGCTTTTGATGATCATCATCTGTTTTAATTTTTTTCTGCAATCATGAAAGTCTATAAATTACTTTCGAGAGTGATATTTGTGATACTTTCATTTATAACTTGCAGCTCTTTGGAAGAATGGCAGCATGGTAATTCAGTTTGTAAAAGGACTTTCAGGTATTGTTTTTTAATAAATGTCAACTATTTTGATCAATTTTGTTGATAGCTTAATTTAAATTACAGCAAAAGAGTTTCAAGATGGGTTCCATATATTGAAACTTATCGAAAAGGAATTTTACTTTGGAAAAGAACAGCAACGCGATATAATTATCGATGGGAGGTAAGAAATATTTGAAAATAAGGAAGTGTTACAAGTAATGTTGATTAATTTTATAATTCAGTTTCAAACAGAATGGTATACAGAAGATGCTTGTTGTTACGGTTATTCAAATGAAGATGGTCATTGTATACCTATTTGCAATGGAGGTTGCCCACATGGTCTTTGTGTCCGACCTAACGAATGCTCTTGTGATGTAGGATACTCACTTAAAGTAACCGGTTCTCACCAAACATGTGAGCCTCATTGTCCTCTGGGCTGTATCATGGGCGAATGTACAGCTCCCAACACTTGCGCATGCAATCACGGCTACAAACTATCGGATGATGGGTATACATGCAAACCGTTCTGTGAACCTAGTTGTGATGCACGAAGTACTTGTGTTGCACCCCATACTTGTGCTTGTATCGATGGATATCAAGATGTAGACGGAAAATGTGAACCAATCTGCGAAGCTGGATGTCATGAAAATAGTTTCTGTTGGCTTCCTAATATCTGTGCTTGTAAGTCTGGTTTCATTGAGGATTCATATTCTCAATGCATTCCAGATTGTAAACCTCCTTGTGGTCTTCATAGTCTTTGTGTTGCTCCAGATGTCTGTACATGTGAATCTGGTTATGCGTCCAATGACACTTATTTTGAAAATCAGGAATATATGAATCAATGTGACCCAGTTTGTATACCTTCATGTGGACCTTATGGCATATGTAATTCTCCTAATTCGTGTTCTTGTAAAACAGGCTACGCTCTCATTACAGAACGAAATACAACAATACCAGAAACAACATCAATTATATGTGAACCTATTTGCGATCCCCCATGCGGAATTCGCGGAGATTGTATAGCTCCAGGCATATGCTCTTGTGAACAAGGTTGGAAAGTAGTATCAATGAAACTACATGATTCATTGATTGATCGATACTGTGCACCACATTGTGATCCTCCTTGTGCTAATTTTTCTTCATGTATTAAACCAAATATGTGTGATTGTGATCCAGGATATTCGAAATCAGATCATGATGATTCGCTAAATTGTCAACCAATTTGTGAAGAAACTTGTGTTAATGCTACATGTATATATCCAAATACTTGTGAATGTCATGCCGGATATCACCCTTACACAAATGATTCTTCTAAATGTGAGCCAACGTGTGGTGACTTTGGATGCCATCATGGTACTTGTATCGCTCCAGATGTATGTAGCTGTGATAATGATTATCAACATAGTAATAGCACCCCATGGACTTGCGAACCAATTTGTGAAAACTGCACCAATGGAATTTGTATAGAGCCTAATAATTGCATTTGTAATTTATATTACGAGAAAAATGAAAATGATTTTTGTGTTCCTAGTTGTTATGGGCGGTGTGTAAATGGTACTTGTGTTGCTCCAAATCAATGTTCATGTGATCCTGGTTATATTTTATATTCTAGCTCTGATGAAGATGGTTCTCCAAGTATATGTGTACCAATTTGTGAATCTGGATGCCCTAATGGTACTTGTACAGCACCGGAAATATGTACATGTAATGATGGTTATGTAAAAAATAATCTGAATGAATGTATTCCAAGCTGTAATGGAAAATGTAATTTTGGAACATGTATAGCTCCAAATCAGTGTAGTTGTGAAGATGGTTATGTTTTAGTTAATGAACCAAGTACGGAAATGTGTCAACCGTTTTGTGAGAATGGTTGTATTAATGGCCAATGTACTCTACCTAATAATTGCACCTGTGATGAGGGATTTGTAATGGATCTCTTTAACCAAAGCAACTGTATTCCTATTTGTGAAGGGAGTTGCGGTCATGGTGACTGCATTGGGCCAAATGAATGTAAATGTCATGAAGGCTATATAAAAGAAAATAGCACAAAGCTAAAAGGTGAATTAGAAGCTTGTGTCAATCCCTGCATTAGTGAATGTGGCACTCATGGGATTTGCGACATAGAGAACCGGACCTGCAAGTGTTTTTACGGATGGACCGGTGAAAATTGTGACGTTCCCATGTATTGTGGGATTATTCGGACTATTTACGATAAAGATTTACTTCAATGGCAAGTCTATACTATTTTCTTTGAACCGAAAAAGGATTTAGAAAAAATATTAAAATTTATTTCGCGTGTGTAAATGATCGTTTTTCAAATCCCTTTTTTTAATAATGAAGGGAAATTAAGATTCATGAAATGCTTTGACAAACATTCCATTGATTTAATGCATGACTTTATTGCATAAAGAATAGGTTCATAAAGAATAGAGGACATTGAATAATTCAGACTTTTTCTATATTTATATTGATTTTGAATTCAGTTATAGAATATTTGTTGAATTCCAACGATAGCTGTAAAATTAATTGAATTTTTTTTTTTATCTCATACAAATATTCGTTTTAATTAAAAAAAAAGTTTTTTATTGTATTGTGGTAATATCACCATTCATATATGAAATTTTTTTTTGGAAATAATGAATTGGAATAATAGCAAATATCAGACATTGCCTCGAGCATCGATTGTTCGCACACCCTATTCGCCAAGTCATTGTCAGAGATTTTCCTCTGCGGCAAAAAAGAAAAAAAAATATGAATGAAGACGGTAGCAAGTATTTACGATGGCCATAAAACGTGATCCCCGACAGCGAATTGTGTGCTACCGTTGCAACATAGACTCATTGCGCGATCCATGAAACTCACGACTGGCAAACGATAAAATTATCCAATGTCTTGCCCTCTTTTCCGCAGGATTGCCGATAGGAATGAAATAAACGACACCACCGAGAATTTTCAGACAGTAAACTGGCATGGACCTACGTGCAACCAACAGTGTATCTTAGACAGCAGTAACGACACCGAATGCTTCCGTCTTTCATCTGACAACAAGCGTTACGAGGATGATCATAAATACGTTTGCTTCCTTCATACTAGTGAGTAATTCTTTGTTCAATTTTATTTCTATTGCTGACTCCATGCAGTTAGCGATCTTATTTGACAATGAAAGAATATTTTTTTACCAACATAAAAAAATAAATTAAGATCAAGTTTAAAAGAATTCAAATAATTTTTATGACATTAGCGAGTTTAAATGAAGGCAATTCCTTATAAAGAACAACTCAGCTTTTTTTTAAAATTAATTGATAAGTATTTTTTAACTTTATCACCCAAAAAAGATCTGCTAAACTGGTGTTATCATTCAATCATGGCCTAGTCATTTTCCACCATTGAGCCAATGCCAGTTACGGTAGTCAATAATGAACCAATGATGGAACTGTAGTATAAACTTCTTTAGATATTAATTATATTTAGCCATAAAATTAGCTTTAAGTACCAGCTGAAGCTACAAAAACATTGATTTTACCTTATTCACACAAATTACAGATGACAACTTCTAAAAAAAAAAATAAAAAATTTTCAATTTTATCTTTAAATTTTGAATAAATTAATTTAAACACTAAAAAATTACTCATAAATTTTAAAGCTTTGTTACTCTGATAAGCAAGTAAAAGTAGTTATACGATATTTCGAGAATTCTTTTTAAAATATAAATATTGTAAAATAAGGCAATATTGGAATCTAGGCTGAATGATTATTATTTTGATTTTCATAATTTCGAATTAGAAATGTTATTTTAGATTTTTCATGTTATTTATTTCAGCCCAATCCAATATTTTTACCCAACTAATAGAAATTGCCAGGTGGCAATTTTTAGAAGATCGGGAGAAGTGTAAAATATTTGTATGTCGCCATCTAATGACTATTAAACTAACGACAGTTTGTTAGTTAACGACGATTGCTTGACGATTAGATTGTTTATAGCAACGAGGGGAGAGTTTGTTTATCTCCAGTTTTTGTCTGAGACTTGAGTTGACCGCACGGATTCTTTCTTTTAATTAATTGCTGTCAATCATTAATAAACATTTTTATTTATTTACTAATTTTCCGAAGTTGTTATTGAGTCTTATTTTACAATATTTGCATCAATTTAACAGCTGAAATTACTTTACATATTAAAAATAAATAAGTAAGAATTTTTGCGAAAGTAAAAATGAATCCTATTATAATAGAGAGACGAGTAACAGAGCTGTATTTGGTGAAGATGTCTTCTGTTTTTTTCTCTAGTTTTATTGCTTTAATCCTTGAATAAAATATCCATATGTGCTATGAGAAGAAATTTTGAAATTCTCACTCTTATCTTATCTGTAAACCTAAGAGTTTTATGAAGTATTCATCATTAAAAGATTTATATCACAACTTTCAAAAAGAATTAAAAAAGTACTTAAGTAATAATTATGCATTAAAATATTGGAACAACACTATTCCTTTATTTTGCTTTATGCGTTTTTTATAATTATACTCCTGACCAATTTAATGAACTGTAGTTATTGTTTAAAAACTACCGCATTGATTTGCAATCATTTTTTTTCTAGTAAAATTTTATTTTCACTTTTTCTCTCAGAAAATATCCGTTTATAAATTTTGAAAATGGAACAATCTTTAACGGAAAAGAATTTTTTACTGCATAATTCATTTTCTAGTGAAAAAACACAGTGAAAAGAACGAAAGTAAATATAATTCTAGCCAATTTACTTAACTCTTTGTATTCATATTGCCAGATTATTGAAATATCGCGAATATGTCAAAAAATTTGCTCTAATCGTAAACTTAAAATTACAAATTTTCCTTTTTATTACAATCTATATTCTTATCTGCAACAGAAGCAAATTTTTTTTATACTGGAAAATAATAAAAAATAATTTTAATGAATTTCAGATACTTTATGTAATTCTGCAAATCTTAATCTAACTACAAGTAATCTCGTTTACTCTGGAACAGTAGCAACGATCCTCCTCATAATTGCGATAGTCGCAATTTCGCTGGTGATAAAGCGGCGGAGACAGAGAAATTTCACAAGTAAGTAGAAAGTACGCCCAGTCGTTGGATAAATCACAAGATTTAACGAACTTGATGGTTTTTAGTGAGCTTAACGAACAGTAACAACCTGTTGGAACAGTCATCAGAAGCTACGGATTCATTGTTATGTACAGATGAGAATTTTTAGTGTTTAATAACAGTATTTACTTTAATCATTCCATTTCACAACAGTTCAACAAGAACAATTGAATTAAAGTATCGAATTTTTATGTTAAAATAATTGAATGAATCAAAAAGATAAGACAAATTGATGATACATTTAACTCACGTTATTTATATTACTTAGTTTTTATATTTTTATTTTTATACATGAAACCATTTAATTATTTACCAATTAAGAAATTATAAAATAATTGTAATAAAGAGTTGAAAATAAATTATGTAATTTTCTTATAATTCTTACTAAGTATGATATTAAGAAATTATCAAAGAACGAATTTAAATCTAAAAATAAAGAGACTGAGAAACGAAAGATTTAGAGAAGAAAAAAATGAAATTTATCATTAATAAAAAAAACTTTCGCTAATATTCAACACTTTTGTGGTATATTTTTTTCACGAGGAAGCACATCTAGGTCTCAAAAATTAAACTCTGGCGTAGTAATTGGTCCCGTTTATTCTTTGCATTAATGAGCCGGTGTACGATAGTTAAAAGTTTTACCAGTAGAGTATTCTGTAATTCCTATAGAAGACGAAGAAGAACAATATTTTTCTCTCACTTATGAAAAGCCGTTCTATACTTCCTGTGAAATAAGATAAGAAGAGCTCTTCTCTTTATCTTGACCGCAGTCGAAAGTTACCGCTCAGTAGTTTCATCTTTTTTTTCTACCCATTTCTTCTCTATTTTCTCGTCTTTTCACTAAAATCTACGACACTTGAGAACTTTCTCTATGTTAGACCATAAAAACTATTGTAATTACATTTATAAGCGAATTCTCCTTATTATTTAAAACACTTTGAAACTCGTACACACATTTACTAGCACATCTTACTGTGAAATAATATTATTTTTTAATTTATTACATTTTATATTTCACTGATGATTTTTCTTTCAAAAAGAAGGAATAAATTATAAATAAACGAGTTGGAATATAAAAAAATATCCGAGTCTAGTTTTCATTATATTTTCATGAAGAAATTTTGTGAAAAAGAAAAAAAAATAAATGTGTCAGAACCATATATAGAAGGGAAAGCGTTTTTCCAGATGGACGAGTTGGTGAAATCCCACAATCTTTACAGTGCGAGAGGATCCTCTCGTCAGTCGTTGACGAGGCTAACAGATAGGACCAGTGGGCTCATTAGGGTTTACTACGGTGCTCGTTAGTCGTAGCTGTTCAGTCGTGTCTGCCATCAGATTTTCACCAAATGATGCTTTCTCCTCTTCCATCTTTATACGTCTAGAGATATTCTATCTGATAAAATTTTATAATTATAAAAGAGATGAGTGCCATTAAAATATTTGAAAAACAGACTTAAATTTTTATTATTTTAGTTAATACGAGATCAGTGAAACTTACAAAATATCATTTGACACATTTTTAGAGTAATTTTATAATATAAGTAGGATGAACATACTAATAAATGAATGTGGTCAGGAAGACATATAAGTTGTTAAAATTATACGAAAATAAGTTTCAAATTTAACAAAATATTTTTGAGTTTTTAAATTAAGCCTTAATTGAAGCAACAAATACATCATTGTTTTAATATCTATTAAAATTATTCAAATAAACATTTTTATATTCTCTGTTTACTTTTGGTTACATTAAAGAAAAAATATATCCTTGGTAGAAATCTAAAACAAAGTTATAAACGAAACGCTGCTAATAACTCAAATAGCCGTCCTCATTACTGAATAGTGATGCAATTTCATATGTTTGTAACCTCACGTTTGATCATAAAATAATAATATTCTTGCAGAAGATTTTTACTCACTGCAGGATTTTCCCTCCGGAAGAATTGTTTTATTTTATTTTTTAATAGATCAAGTTGAACAGTGATATTGTTGCAATCTAATTACAATTACCGTAGAATAATAGTAAGATAAGAACTCAACACTTGTAAGGAAGTGATGTAAACGTTTATTGAATCAGAAAAAAATTATTAACCGAAAAATGTGACATCCAATCAGCTTTGATCTCAGTCACCAACCGAAATTAAATTAATCAACCGTTGCTAACAACAAATCCATCGACTGTCACCCATAAATATATAATACAAACATTTTACAATACAAACGTCTTTTGATTAAAATATTCTGGAGAAAAATATTTAAATCTAAGTTAATTCATAGAGACTGCGTTAACTTAATTTTTAGAACTACAACAATTATATTAAATATAAATATAATGAATAATTATTGAATCAAATGGATGGATTATAACTAGGTGCATGATGAGATTTTTTCAATACAATCTTCCATCAATTTTTTAGTTTTCTTTCAATTTAATAATCATTTTCTACAAATTGTTTCATCGTAATCCAACAGACATCAAAATAATTAGCAAAAACTTCTTTAAAATCTTAAAACCTAACTCTCCAACGACATTAAGACTTTCTATTCATAATGAAATAATAATTGTATTTATAATTATTATTTCAATAAATTGTTTTTTTACATCTAGAAACTTGAATAAAATTTATCAAGCATTTCACGTGATTGAGACTTAAAGTTTATTAAATCAATTTTTTAAAAGTCATTCTTTCTAATCGAAAAATTTGTAAAGGAAAAAATATTTTTGTGTACGTCCAAACGTCACATTTATTTTGATTTAAATCTTTTGATTTTAAATTTATTTGATCTTTAGTTTCACAACTCAAGAGTGATGTTGGTTTCACTATATAAAACCCGTAATGATCGTAAGAAGATTCATGACATATTTGAATTTAAAACCAGTGAAGAGACTTTTTATCTTAAATTTTTTTTATTAATCCTTCTTCAATTGTCTAATAATTATGTGTAATAAGAATTGGCATTGAGAACAGCATGAAAAATATTGAAAAGAAAAACATAGTTAGATATAAAATTTGTATTGCTTTTTTGGTGGCAATATCCCAGGAAATAATCTTGAACTCTGTCAATGATTTAAAATTTATTTCTTCTTCGTTCATCAACATTTATTACAATTTTTTGAATTACGATAAGAATGTAAATTTCCTGGAGAATAATTTAAGAAAATGAATATCAATTACATTAACTAAAGAGAACTTGAATAAATTTTTACACTTGAATAAACTGTTTAAATTCTGTAGTATTTTTAATCTTACTACAATAATTTACTACAATCATCTAGAATTTTAAAAATATTATGTGAAAAATAAAATTTCTTCACTCTGAATTCAACAATAGGTGATTTTCTTGAAATTTTCTTGAAAAACAAAAGGGAAATCTATCAACATTCATGAAAATAATTAACATTTTAATTTTAAAATATAATCTATAAAATGTATTGTCAATTATTTTTACTTACAAATTCAAGTATAATGCCTTTAACACGAATTGTAACATTGTTTAGCTCTTATTTTGTTATTTGAACAATCAGATACTATTTATTATGTATACTATTGTAAAAAAGCTTTTCAATTTATTTAAAATACCATAATAATTTATGTTTCTTATTCGTTATTATGCTGATTAATTCATCAAAAATTTATTAAGAAGTATCTGAATTTATAAATTTAAAGTAGACTTAAAATGACTTATGTATACCGAAATACATACATATACATTGGTATACCGTCAAAGGAATTCAGAATTTAAGCTTTTTTTTACACATACAAAATTATTTTAGCTCTCACAATTTATTGTAAGTTATTTTTTACGCGGAATGTTTGATAAAATTTTTGATTCTGTTTCTACGAATAATTTCTATCGACTGACTAGAAAATATCGAAATACAAAAGTAGTTATTCGCAAAAATATTATTCTGCTTGAAAAAGATAAGTAAAGTAGTCGTTTTGAGACTTGAGATAAAAGCGTAAGAACTCTAATATCAGTGTAATTTAAATACATAAATAGTATAAAGTAGCCACAGCATAACAATATATAATTTCTATTTGAGTACCTAAAACCCTTCACCCTAAACCCCTAAACCTACGAAGTTTATAACCAAAATTAATATATCAACCCGAGATTATGTAATATCGACTATTTTTAATTATTACTCTTAATCAAGTTACGACTCAACATAATTATTTCGATGTAAGTCACGTAATTTATAACAAGAATTCATTTCAAAACTGGTAGAGACTGTTTCCTACATTTAATCAATCTGTATTTTAAAATATGTTATGGACTATCTATATGTAATATCGTTTATTTTAAAAATACTTTTAAACAGGAAAATTACTTATTAACATTACCATAATGAAACTTCTGGATAAAACTGTATATTATTAGAATAAAATTAAATCTACTGTTAACCACTGGGGAGTTTTTTAAGTTTCTTTATAAACTTAATTAAAAATGGAATTTATAACGTGGAGGGTGAGTTGTTAATTATCTCTTAAATAAAATCCGTGCAAATGAATTGAATATATATGTTCTCCGTTGTTTTGTTAAGTTTTTATCGTGACAATGAATTTTTCCAGATCTCATGAATATCACGCACAATTGAGCTGGGTAGGATTGACTGGAGCGATTAGATAGACGCAATTTCATTCAATTCCTGTATTCCCGGGCGCATCATGCGCAGTTCCATTTTATTTCGTTTTCTCTTTGCTGTTTAATCGATCGACACACCCCTTATTCGACATTTAATTAATTACAACGAGCCGTTGAAAATTTATTTTGTTGTTTTAACTTTCTTTGCTAAGTTCAAATGAGATGTTTTTCTTCTGCTTTCAGGTTATTTAGTAAAAAATAGTTTTAAGAAATAAGTTGATAATAGAGCAAAGAGGCAATTGAAGTGTGCACCTGTTTCTTTAATTTTTTTCCCCTTTAATGACACTTCTTATAAAGTTTGTTGAAAAATTTATTTCCGATATATTCAGATATTTATTTTATAGAGTAAATAAATTGCTAGAGACACTTATTATGATCAATGGAAAAACAATCAGTCTATAAAATAAATAACTGCTTTCGAGAGCTTTTGATTTTTCAAATCAAACTAACATTGAAAAAAATAAATTTCAGAGTTTTACCGTTAAATTATAAAGATTTCAATGATCAATCAAAATTTGTAAAATAATGATATGAGAAATATTTCAAAATTTTTTGAAACAGCTTTTGAATTAGACGTTGAACAAATATTTTTAAATTAAAAGATGTATCACCACAAAGATGAGAGTATACATTTTTTTAAACTTTAA